TAACATATCATTCAGGACTCACAGTTCCTCCTGTTGGCTCTCTGAAATGTTGATGTTAAATCTAACCCCTTCTCCAGCCCCCCGTCATCCATGGGGAGAGATCAGCAGCTCTGCAGGGCAGTTTGTGCTGTGATCACCAGCACAGACGGACTGACCTCCCTCAGGAGGTGCTCCCCTCTCTCCACAGCCTGCAGCTGGAGCTGTCTGCCTTGGACCAGACACCCAAGGCTTAAAGGGCTGAAGTGATGTGCAATGCCGTCGCCCAGAGCGTGTAGGCGGTTTGATGTGAAGCTGAGTCAGGGTGCGTGTGCCCCCACACTGTCTCCCAGCTTTCTGCTTTCCTGGTGCCAGAGGCTCAGCACACCAGGACACGTGTCACAGGCACATGTCTGGCATGATGGGAGCGTTTGTGCTCCCATAGTCCCGTGGTGGAGGGGGTGTATCTGCCCCAGGAGAGGGGTGCTGCCCCTCCTCTGCTCATGCCACAGCTAGAAGTGCCCTGTGTGTTTCTCTGCAGCTCTTCATAGCAACACCTCAAAAGCCCAGAGGTCTTTAGTGCCACTCAGGGAAAGGTTCAAAAGCACCTCCAGAGGGCTGTGAGCTGGGCTGTGTGTCATGTGGGTCTCCTCACTTTTGCCCTGTCTCCTAGGGATGAAGTGAACAAAGCCTATCGGAAGCTGGCTGTGCTACTCCATCCTGATAAGTGTGTGGCTCCTGGCAGTGAGGATGCCTTCAAAGCAGTGGTGAATGCCCGGACTGCGCTTCTCAAGAACATCAAGTAGGGAACAGAGCTGCTCAGAGCTGGAAACCTTCCCCTCTTCCCATGGGGCACCTCTTTCCTCCTCCTGCTTACTGCTGGCATGGACACGGGCTCTCCCAGCACCAGCCATGGCAGCAGGACTGCATCAACTGTAGCACCCTTGCGATGCACTGGAAAGGGGCAGAGTGCTGAGGAGGGCAGAGGCACCCCAGAGCCCTCCCTGCATCCATGGCCCCAGATCGTGGTTGGTGTAAGTGCTGAAAACAGTGAGGTTCCCACCTTCTTGGCTGTGTTACACCTCAAGGGAGTTACCAGCCATGGAGGAGTTTGAGTGTGTGACTCTTAACTCGTGGATGCAGCAGGGGCAGAGTGAGATCTGATTTGTAAGTATTGGTGTCGTGGGTGGAGGATGCCCAGGAGAGCAGTGAATTGTCAGTCGTGGGTTATCCTAGAGACACCTCTGCAAGGCTGGAAGTGTTGGGATGCACTTGCCAAGCACTGGGGCGGTTCAGCATCCTGGGCAAAGCTGTCTTCTGCCAGCTGACATCCAACAGTACTGCTTTTGACAGTGAGGAGAAGGGCAGGCTGCTCCTGCTTACTGCAGGGAGAAACTGGCTCCCAGAGTGTCCTTTTCCCCTTCCTCCCCAAGCTGTTGTGGTGCCAAGAACAGTCCCTTTGTCAGGACTGGGGCTTTTCCACCTACTTACCACACAGCACAGTCTCCTGCCACTGTGTCCCTCCACCCCCTGGAGCTCAACTCCTCAGGAAGAGCCCTTAAAGGCTCCTCCTCAAGCAATTGCTCCCTCTCTCCCATCCCTCTATTCACACCATGCCAGTGAGCTCTGGGTAGGTGCCACCATCCCCTATGGGTGACTGTCCTCAGCTGTGGGTGGTCCTGGGTATTTGCAGGCAGGAGGAGAGTGCCAACCCAAGGGGGAGGCAGTTCACCCTCCACTTGGTTGCCTGTCAGCTCTGCCCTTCCTCCCCTTGGCCAACTCCATCTCCTGAGCTTCACCCACACTGCAGAGCTGTGTGAGTGTCTGCAAGCTGCCTGCTCACTTGGCATCATGTCACTCTCAGGTTAAGTGAGGGGTGAAAGGGCCATGTCCTCCCCCAACCCTCTCTTCTCACAGTAGCATATCACCCTGCTTTGCTGGTTGTCTTACAGGTTGCCGATCAGCAGGTAGGTGCAGGTTGCCCCCTTGTAGTCACAGCTGCTGTTTGATTTGAATAGTCTTGTTGATATAGATGGGAGCATTGCTGGTCACCCCAGTAAGTGCTTGCAGAGGCTTGAGATCTGGCTGCTGTGATCCTGAGGGGGGTGAGAGCTGTGAAGGCTGCCAGGCTCATAGGAGAGACCAAATGGGAGATTCCTTGGGCTTCAGTGTTCTTTTTCAAGACCCGATATCTCCTTGCTGCTGCATGAGCTTGGCAGGACACAAAGCCATGAAATGAAAGCCACTCAGTGTGTCTGTGTGTGTCCTTACCTCACCCCACAGATACCCTGTTCAGGTGTTTTCTCCTGTGGTCACTGTAATCTTTTGGTTTGGTTTGGTTTTTTTTCCACTTCAAGGCAGCTTTTCTGTGATTCCCCTTCAAAATACATCAGAAATCAACAGTAGATCCCCCCCACACTTTTTGACAGCAAACATTAACGGACTTTAAAGCCAGTATCATTTTGCTCTTGCTCTGGTTTCTGGTGCTGGGAAGAAGTGAGCTGCCCTGCTGGGAAACACTTTTTGCTCCTCCAGTGTAAAAATGACCAAGGGGATACATTGCTACAAGAGGTTAATGTTTAAAATAGCTCAATTTTCCTTCTCCTAGATGCATAAAAAGCTGGGCTGGGGGATGTCAGCAGGGCAGGCCCCGCAGCTGTGGCAAGTTACGCTGACAGGGTCTCATTCCACACATTTTGTAATGTTCTGGAGTTCACTGGAAACCTCCCTGCTTGTCTGGTGGAGGAAACCACTTAATACTGGCTTCAAACCCAGTTCTTTGTATTTTTCCCCCCATTGAGAAAGGTAAATAATCCTTTTGCTGAATGGTGCACTTCATTTCGAGGGTGAGATCTCAGAGCCTGGAGTGGTTTAAAGGCTTCCTCAGTTCCTGCTGCTCAGGGGCTCTCCAGGTCTTTTGTGCTATGCATGGCCCCTCCTGTTTGCTCCTCAGGTGACTCTGGCTGTTAGTCTTGGGGTTTCTGCTGTCTGTTTACAGAGCTGACTGGACCTTTGGAGACCATTAGACACGCATGTCACACGGAGCCATGTCAGTGACCTTCTGAGTTGTGTTATTTTTATAAATTAAACCCCCTCTTTGGAACAAAGGAAGCCCTGTGAGCTGTCCTCCCGCCTGCTGTTAATGTTTAATTGCCCTTTGACTCATTTCTCTCCTCCCCAGCTGGGTCTGGCCAAGGCTGGTGGTGAAGAGCTGCCCTCGAGGGTGATGATGGAGGTTGTGAATCAACTCTGCAGAAGTGGGAGCTGGCTAAGAGGTCTGGGAGTCCCACAGGGATGTGATGTGGGATGCACCCAGCTGTGCTAGAGCCTGGCTCTGGGCAGGGGAGGCAGAGGAGTAGCATCATCGTTGCTCCATGCACACACATCTCTGCACCAGCAGCCCCTGTAGCTGCTTACTCCATGCCAGCTCCATCAGGACCCCAAGCTCAAGATCCCTCCAGCAAAGCTGCCACCATCCAGGCTCTGCATCAGGCCCAAGAGTCCTGTGTCCTGACTCATGCAAAGAGCAAGTCCTGCTTCTGAAGCATGTGTCCTGCTGTGAAAACACCAGGCTATGAATCCAGATGAAGGCGCTTCCCATTCAGCATCCAGAAATGCAGCCAGGAGCCACCCCTGAAGATCTGTGGAATAAGAAAACTCCCTCAATGCACCTAGAGGTGCTGCCCTGCCTGTGCTCTGCCTGCCCCTCAGCACTCAATGGAGCGGACAGGCAGGGAGGACACAAGGATTTCTGGTCTGGCCCATGCCCAGCAGCTGCTGTCTGCTCCTTGCTGCCACTCCAGGGTCGTGCACCCTGTAATGTGTCCAGGAATGAGCCCTCCTCTGGAACAAGGCTACACTCATCCTGCTTCATGAACCATCAAGGTCTCCTTGCTGGCCTTCGGACCAGTTAACCTTCCCAACCAGCGTGCCCCGTCCATGGCCAGCCTGGAATGGGTTGGCCTGGCCTCCCCATGGTAGAACATATCCCAGGGTAGGTGACCAGGACTCCTGTCCCTGTCTAGTGCTGGCCAAGGCATGGGCAAGGCTGGGCAGCAGAAGCCCCTGCACGCACCCCGCTTGCCCGCACTCCTCTTCAGCTGCAGCAGGATGGGAGTAACACTGAGCATGCCCCAAACCTCAGGGGAGCTGTGGCATTGGCTTATCATTTTGTATTAATTACTGCACAGAAGCAATTACTTCCCTGGCAAACCAGCCAAGATGGCCTCTTAGAGCTGCTGGGGTGAGGACATGCGGGAGTGGAGTGGCCACAGCTTGATGGGGCCAGGTGTGGTTCTCCAGTAGGTCAGGGAGGACTTGTTGCAGCATGGTGACAGGAGTGATTCAGGGCACCTCCATCAGCTCTGAACTGCAGCCAGTGTTCCAGGGTGCAAGAAGAGAGCTGAAACATGAGGAAGAAGAAGGGTAGCTTTCTGAAGAGGTTTCGGGGGGGTGTCGTCAGTTTTGGGGGTGATTTGGGCAGTGTAGGCAAAGGAGGATGTGCAGGGGGAAGTCCTGGTGTTTCCCTGCTCCTCTGTGGAGGGGAAGCTGTTGTAAGGGGTCTGTGACCCCGGAGGTGCGGGTGGGGGAAGCAGAGTCGGGCCATGGACAACCTGTCAGGTTTTAGGATGTATGGCCTGGCACCCTGCTCATCCCCCAGGGTTGGGGTGCCTGGTGCCTAGCGAGTTGGTTCAGGACGTGTGCGTCCCTGTGGCCGTGCAAGCTGTTGGAAGCAGGTGATGATGAAGAGGATGGAGTTGGCAGCAGCAAAGCTGCAGGAGCGAGGGAGGGACACGGCTGGGGGCAAATCCACCCAGAAACAGGCTGGGTTCCCGGTCCCCGGCGGCAGCAGGGCCGCCCCGCAGCCAGCACCGACAGAGTTACTGAAGGCTGAGACGCACCGGGGCGCACCGGTACCGGCACGGCCGGCGGTGGGAGCCCGCCCCGGCCCCGGGGAAGCCCCTGCCCGGCCCCTCCATCCCCGGAGCCGCTGCCATGCCCCTGCCGCCGCCTCCGCTGCCTCGTCCCCGGCCCCGCGGAGACCGAGCGGGCGGCGGGGCAGGGCGGCCCCGGGCGTAGGGGGCGGCGGAGGCGGGCGGCGGGGCCGCCGGAGGATGCGGCTGCGGCCGGGAGAGGCGAAGCGCAGCGGATCGGATCGGATCGGATCGCTCTCGGCAGCGGGGCGGCACCTGCGCTGCCCGGGCTGCGGCTCCTGGCCCTCCGTTCCTCGGTCTGTCCATCCTCTCCATCCCTCCACCCATCCGTCCGTCCATCCCCGTGGAACGAAGGATCTCGGAAAGGGGCAAAGACAGGAGGAGCGCCGGGGATCGCCCCCCGAAGCGGTTGCCCTCGAAGGAGGAGCAGGGAGGCATCGCGACATCTTTCCGCTCCGCGTCGCTTCGGTTGCAACCTGGCAGTGCGCAAGGGCTGGGGAGAGAGCTGGCGGGGAGCTGGGCAGGAAAGCTCCTTCAGCTCCCGGCCTCCGAGCACCGCACCGCCGGTTATTTATACTCATCCCCCTTTCCCTCCGTCGTCCGCTCTTCAGCTCGCAGCGGGATTGAGGATTAGGGCTGCGGGAGAAAGGGAAAGGCCTCGCTGTTAGGTGGCCGGTGGGACGGGGATGCTGCGGGCATCACCCCAGTGAGCATCGGGGCGCGGGGGACCGCGGCATTTCTGCGGGGTCGGAGCAGGGGAAAGCACCACGATGCCCAGGAACAGGGCTTTCTCAGAGCCCGAGTGCTCGGCTGAGTACTCCGCCGACTATTCGGTGAGCCTGCCGTCGGACCCTGAGCATGGCGTGGGGCGGACCCATGAGGTGACGGTGCGGAGCTCGGGACCCTGCCTCTGCCTGCCTCGCTTCATGCGCCTCACCTTCACTCCCGAGTCCCTGGAGAACCTCTACCAGACCTATTTCCGTCGCCAACGCCATGAGACCCTCCTGGTGCTTGTGGTCTTTGCCGCCCTCTTCGATTGCTACGTCCTCATCATGTGCGCCGTGGTCTATGCCCCTGACAAACTGGCCCCAGTGCTGGCGGCGGTGGCCGGGCTGGTCACCCACGTGCTGCTCTTCATCCTTTGCAAGTATAAGCTGCTCCCCGAGCGGGTGGCCCGCAGGTTCCTGCCCTACGTCCTCTGGGTCCTCATCTTGGCCCAGATCTTCTGCTACCTGGGTCTCAACTTCTCCCGCTCGCCCGAGGCCAGCGACACGGTGGGCTGGCAGGCTTTCTTCGTCTTCTCCTTCTTCATCACGCTGCCGCTGCGCTTGGCGCCCATCGTGCTCATCACCGCCATCTCCTGCGGCATCCACACGCTGGTGCTCGGTGTCACCGTCGCCCAGCAGCACCAGGATGCCCTGGATGAAGGCACGCTGCTCAGACAGGTACAGGGCCAGCGAGGGGACATGGGGTTCCCTGCTGTGGTGGGGGGTGATGGGCAAATCATCCCTGTTTGGTGCTCCTATGAGTTACATGGGGTCCATCTCCGCCCCTATGCCCTGACCCTAAAGCTAGGTTGGATCCAAACCCTGTGAGCTGATCGTGGTGTTTGCTGGGAGCTGGGGACTCCCCATAACATATCTGGGGTATTGGGGTGTGCAGGAGCACCCACCTGTGCTGAGGCACACAGCCACAGACCTGACCTTGCAAGCACAGATCCAACCCCAGGAGCCACCCGGGGTGCATGGATTCATGGAGTTAGGCTGCTGGGGAAACTGAGGCACGGCATAGACTGCAAGCTCCCTGCCTGGAGGCCTTGCTTGTGCCAATTCCCTTTGAATTGCAAACATGGCTAAAAATGTCCCCACATGGCCATTTTGGGCAGAAAGGTGGCAGGAGCTCAGCTTCCGGGCTCACAAACAGCCACTGGAGCTTTCCCAGGAGGAAGGAGCTGGGCAGCCACTTGGACCCAGTGTGGCTCTTGGGCAGTGGCCATCGCTGAGCCCTGTGCCTGTGGCAGAGCCCAGGCTTGCTTGCCAACCTGGAGAAACAGAGTCTCCAAACCCAAACATGGCCATAAAGATGGGCTAACTAATTCGTGTATGCAGTAAAGGGGGGGACGTGGGGCTCAGATTGGGGACAGCGATCCCCGACCCATCATATTCTCAATATTTCTTGGGAAATGTCCCCCCTGGAGCAGCTAGAGATTGTTTTTATTCCTTAAATCAGTGGGTTTCATGGCATGGCCACAGATGGGGTGGAGGGGGAAAAAACCAAGCCAGAACTGAAAACTTGTGTGCCAGTGGCTGCTGATGGCAGTGGGGAAAACCCCACTGGAAGTATCTGTTCTGCCCCTAATGGTGTGGGCTCCGTGGGAGGATGCTATGGGAATATGGGATGCTCTGGGTTAGGTCCTCAGAGACGTCCAGTTGTTCCCAGCCTACATAGGAAGGGGGGAGAGGGGCGTATTTATTTGCTTTTTATGAGGTTTGGGAAGTGTTGAGCCTGTGATCACTCTGGGGGTTTGGAAAATGGAGCCTGCTCTCCAAAAAGCCCAAAGCTACTGGGTTTTTCCTGTCTCTGGGTGGGTGTTTTGGAGCTGGTCCCCTGGCATGGGACATCATCTGCTGGCACACAGGGCTTTGCAAAGAAAAGCACTGTTTTGAGCATCATTTCTGGAGCTTGCTAGGCTGGGTGCTGGGGCGGCAGCATGGGTGCCCTCCCAGTGATGCTGGGGCGGAAGCACTGCACCAAGCAGGAGAAATCCCAGTGCACCGGCAGCTTTCCCAGGTTTTGCTCCTTCTCTGGGGTACACAAGGAAAACCCTTGCTGCCACCTCCCTGGGATGCAGGAGGTGAGGGGCCATGTGGGCATCCCCCCGGCTGGCAGCAGGCATGAGCTGCTCTGTTAATCATTGCCATGGCACGGAGAGCCCAGGGCCGGTAAAACCTTGGCAACGCGGCATGCCTCTGCCTCTGCCTGCTGCAAAAGGAGGAACATTATGTCCAGAAATAAACATCATATGCTTTATTATTATAGCTGGTGGTGCAGCTCCCGGAGGGCATTGCTATTAATAGGATGAACCAGAGGATGTTGCTTGAGTGGGGCCGGCACAGCCTGACAGGGTTCATGAGAGATGCCGACAGCTTCTGCCCCGCTGCCGGCTGTCAAGGAGGAGCCTGAAGGCTGGAATCATGGCAGGGGTCAGGATTTGGTGGGGTTTGAGGCTGTGTCTGCCACGGTTGGGTGCAAATCAGCTGCAAAGCATACCCAGGCTTGGCCAATGACCTGGTCCCCATTTGGATGGCCCTTGCGCATCCTACCAGGATCTTCCCTCCAGGACATGGATGGGGTTGGATGGGAAGGCTTGTTCCACTGGCTCTGCACCCTCCTCTGCATGTCCTGCTTTCTCTGCCCCCAAATTACTAAGTGCAAATGATAACCAGTGACTGTGCCAGGAGTGGGGTCTCCTTTGTGTTGGGGATTTCCCTGCAGCATCTGGGGTCTTGAGATGTGTTTTGCATTTCAGAGCACTTGCTGCTGGAGGCTTTTTGGGGGCTGAGCATTCATTGCATGGCTGCAGGATGCAGATAGAAGATGCTCAGCATGGGCTTTGGCTCTATAGGGCGAGCAGATCCCTAGAGTTTCTGGCAGCCCCAGTGTGCTGAGCTGTGCTGAACAGTGACAAGCCGCCCCATGCCCATCCAGCCTGGGTAGAGCATCCCTTTGTCATGGCAATCCAAGAGGCCGGTTAAAAATAGCAAGTGGCTGCTTGGTTTTGGGGTTTCTTTCGGTGCCCACCTCCAGGTTGCTCTTTGCTCACACTCTGCTGTGCCATGGGTGCAGGGGCTTCCCAGGGATCCCCAGCTGCAGCAGTGGGATCTGGGGCAGGATCCGGCCCTGGGGCACCAGATGAGGGTCATGGGTGCTCTCCCCTGCTCCCCATGCTCTTTTCCTCCCCAAAGAAGTGACTCTTTCCTTGCTGCAAATCGTCTTAACCCCAGTGTGGTGCTGAGCCAGCACACAGTGACAGGCACCGTATTTACTGCTGCATGTGGCCTGTTTGTCTGTGCCTCAGTTTCCCCCTGTGTGGAAGGGGTCAGCAGCTCCTCCCTGTCTCCCTATGATGAGGCTGAGCTGCTCAGGACTCAATGCTGTCAGGTGATAAAACCTGCAAGGAAAGGACCAGGATCACATTAGGACTTTCCTCTGACCAAGCTGGGCTATGGGGGACCAGGGATGGGAAAAGATTGGTACGGGGGAGTTGGGATCAGAAGGATGTGGAGCATGGCAGCACATCCCCAATGGAAATGAGCCTGGGAGCAGCTTCGTGCTCTTCCCACTCCCTCCTCCACACTGGCTGTGACACAGCCCATGGCCCACGTCCCCATTGCCACTTTGGCATAGCTGGAGCCTGTTATCACATCCTCCCCATCCCTCGTCCCCTTTCTAGACTAAACAAACCAAACACATTCAACTTTCCCTCATCAGTCAGATTTTCCATAAAGGACTCTTTGCTCCCATCTCCAAACCTGCTGTGTCCCTTCCTGGGCTGCAGGGACATGGAGCCCAATCCGTGGGGACAGGGTCCAGCCTGGAGGATGGGGTCCAGCCCATGGAGCCGGGGCCTAGCCTGTGGGACAGGACAGGTCCAGCCTCAGGGCCACTGGGAGGGATGCAGAGGGGCAGGAGCATCAGTAAACACACTGTTTGTGAGTTTGGCTGCGGTTTCATTCAGGTTTCTGCACAGAGGGCTGTGGTTCCTATGGAAAGAGCGGGTGGCACGTGAGAAACACTTGCCTTCAGCAGCACCATCCCCAGGGCTGCACCCAGCCCCTGCCAACCTGCTGCCTTTCTCCAAAACACCTCTGCAAGGTCTAATGAAGTGGCATCAACCCGCGGGGAGCACACGGTCTCCAGGGATGCTCAGGGCATGATCCATGAGGGGTCTTTGCTGCAGATCCCTCCCACAGAGCCACCATCAGGTCCCCCATGACCCCACCAGCAGTTCACAGTGGCTGTGATTTGGTGACTGATCTCCAGGGTGTATTTTATGTCCTCCTCCATCATTTTTCCAGTCTAACCTGTCAGGCTGTGCTGCCCAAACAGTGCTGTGCGGTGGTACCAGTACCATCCCTGGGCCATGCATGGACTTCCTCGTGGCTCCACTCACCCTCATCTCCTTTTCTCTGTCCCCAAAGATCCTGTCCAATGTTGCCATCTACCTTTGTGCCATCACCGTGGGCACCATGTCCTACTACATGGCTGACCGCAAGCACCGCAAAGCCTTCCTTGAAGCGCGCCAGTCCCTCGAGGTCAAGCTCAACCTGGAGGAGCAGAGCCAGCAACAGGTAGGAGCCACGGCTGCATGAGGTGACAGCATGGGGACAGGGCAGGGGATGGTGATGGGACACTGGTGTGGCTTTGAGATATAGGTAAAGCACCCTCAGACTGCACCCTGCATGGTGCTGAGAGACTGTGGTGGGTGGTGAAGGGAACAGGAGGACCCATGGTGGGACATACATTTGCAGCTTTGCACCCTGTGCCCAGTTTGGGGACTCTCCATGTCAGCATCCTCTTCCAGGGTCTGCCAGCTCCTGCCATAGCCACCACCAAGCTATCCCCATCCCTGGGCATGGTGACAAGCAGGTCCTCATGTCCGGGCAGGGCCATGTGGCACTGGGCACAGCTGCACAACAGGTCCCTGTCCTCAAGCACAACCACAGGACAGGTCCCCAACCCCATGCACAGTCACACAGCACGTCCCTGTCTCCAGGCACAGCCGCATGGCAGGTCCCCATTGCTGAGCATGACCGTACATCAGGTCCCCATCCATCTCATGGGCTTCTCCTGCAGCAGACCATGACGGGGAGGGCGAGCTGACAGCAAGCACAGCCATCCAGTCTGTGCTCATCCCAGGGGTGATGCTCCATGCACACGGCTGTGCCGGCACTGTGCTGCGGTGACCAGGCAAGAGCAGCGGTCAGAGGGCAGCAGGCAGTGTGGTGCCAGCCGGCTGTTTCAAAGCTCTGCTGTCTCCAGCCGCCGTCCAGTGATGAGCTGGGCTAATTTTAGAACCTTATCTGGGGCCTCTGTCTCCATCTCCCATCTCTTATCTGGTTGATGCGCTGCCAGCAATTTGCTCCCAACGGCAGCAAGAGACACGTGGCAGGGCCAGGCCAGCGCCACTGGCATCCTCTTTGCTGCAAAACCTGTGTGGATGCTCTGATGTCTAATAAGGGGTTAGGTAAAGGGAGAGGTTTAGGCGAAGGGGGCAAATCCTGAGGATGGGGGATGCTCATAGTGAGAGCACTTTGGAGGCTCCAGCTTGCAGGTTTGGAGGAGTATAGGAAGGAACATGGGTTTATTATCACATAAGCTGTTTCCTTAGGGAGCTGAGCTAAAAATAGCCTGTGATCTTGCAGGAAAGGCTGCTAGCAAGAGGCTGAGTGGCTCGGGGCAGCGGGGCCATGGAGCAAGGAGCAGTGGTCATTGCCAGATGGCTCCTTCCAGGTCACCGGTGATGGTTGAAAAGACAGCCCCACAGGCAGAGCTAAGGGTTAATGGAGCTGAGAGGAGCTGAGAAGCTCCTGCACTCCTCCCCACCTGCACTCCCTGGGGATGGGGACGGGGATGGGGACACAGTGCCGTTCCTCCAGCAACAGCCCTGCTGCGGCTGCGCACAGACACCCCCAGTCCTGGGGGAAAACCCACTTTGTTAACCAAGTTACTTACATTTAGTACGAATCCCCACGCACAGCCACGCACATCTATCCCTCCTCCAGCTCTGGGGCTGCTGGGCCAGCAGTGGGTTCCATGTCACCAAGTGGGCTTGATCCTCCTGGGATCAAGCTGCTGGAGTCCTATGCCTGGATATGGGGCACTCACCATGCTTTTAAACTGTTAAATCCTCCCTGGTGTGGTTTAACCCCAGTCCCTACAACCAGCCCTGACCCAATGAGGGCCAAGCTGGGGCAGCTCAGAGGGACCATGTGGACATTGGTGCAGCCCCAAGGTGGCTCCAGCCCCATGTCCCAGGTTTATTTGGGCTGATAAAAGCTTGCCCAACCTGAATCGTTTTAATTCTCAAGCTCCCAGAGGGACTGGGCTCTGTATGGTGCCTGCAGGAGGGATGTGGGGAGCACAAGGACACTTGCAGCTCATCAGCTGGAGTGCAAATAAGTGTGTGGGACTGTCCCTCCTTCCCACAGCTCCAGGGACAGGCTGCAGTGCCCTTGCCCTTCTACCCTCCCATCCTCCCCTGGCTGGGATTTATTCCCACTTGCCAATCTATTCCCAACCTCACTGAGAACTTGTAAAACAGGGAGGAAATGGCTAGAAGCAGAGGTTGGCACCACCACGAAGGCATGGCCAAGGGGGACCCACCACCCATGGGTGTGTCCTCTCCATCTGTATGTGTAGGTTTGGGGTTGGGTTGATGGCTCCCGGTGCCCTGGGACACCCTGCTCCAACCTCACTCCTTCTGCCTGGAGGAAAAGCTCCTGTTTCGCCCACGGCTTCTTCCCCACATGTGGATGAGAGCTTGGGCTGAAGACCTGGATGGGCTCTGGGATCCATCTGGGAATAGTTAGGCCCAGCAGTGAGGGCCCAGGAGCTTGGAACTGGCACCATGTGTTTGGACTGTGCCTTTGCACTGCACATTGGCACTGTGTGTTTGAGCCATGAGTTGCCGCGCTTGGCTTCGTGTCATGGCAAACTCTGTCCCCTATCCCGTTCCCAGGAGCGGCTGATGCTCTCCATCCTGCCCAAGCATGTGGCTGATGAGATGCTGAAGGACATGAAGAAGGACCCGAGCCAGAAGGAGATGCAGCAGTTCAACACCATGTACATGTACCGTCACGAGAACGTCAGGTGGGACTGTCCTGCCTCCCCCTGTGCCATCCTTGGGGGGGGAAAAACCTTCTATTTTTCTTCTGCAAAAACGTGTGTTTTACTGTTCTGGCTAGAATCAGGGGAAAACATTTGTGTGGTTTGCAGCTAAAGCCAGCGTCATCCCAAACCAGCCTTTGCTTTTGCATGGGTGCCCTAGTGCAAAGGAAGGGATGTCCCAGGACACACACACCGGGCTGATCTGCTCACCATTGCTCCCCACAGCATCCTCTTTGCAGACATCGTGGGCTTCACCCAGCTCTCCTCCTACTGCAGCGCCCAGGAGCTGGTGAAGCTCCTCAACGAGCTCTTCGCCCGCTTCGACAAGCTGGCAGCCGTGAGTGTACCCCGCCATCCTGACATGTAACGAGTGGGGCAGGTCTCAGCCATCGTCCTGCTCCTGCCCCAGCCGAATGCTGCATCCCAGGGTGGGGATGCGGAGGTTAAACATTTACTGCTCCGGGATGCTGGAGATGCCCTGCCCTCTGTTGTAAAAATAGAGCTGGGAAGCAGGGGGGCCTCCCCCAGGCAGGGAGCAGCCGGGGTCACACTGAGCCCTGACGGGGAAGTGGGGTGGGAATGGAAAATCCAATGATTTATGTCCCTGTTGGGCGCAGGATCCCTGTGTGGGCCAAGGACAGCCTGGGAGAGGGATGGGGGCAGTGAAGGAGTTGGGGGTGTCACAGCTGATGGTTGTGGGGCTGACAATGTGCCCCCATCCCCAGAAGTACCACCAGCTGCGCATCAAGATCCTGGGCGACTGCTACTACTGCATCTGCGGGCTGCCCGAGTACCGGGAGGACCATGCCGTCTGCTCCATCATGATGGGGCTGGCCATGGTGGAGGCCATTTCGTAAGGGCTTTCTCTTTGGGGTGGGTGCCAGGGTGGGCAGGGGGAACTGGTGTGCTGAGGTGCAGCTTCTGCAAACACCAGCTGTGTCCTGGGCTGCATCGCCAGCAGCGTGAACAGCAGGGCAAGGGGGGGGATTCCACCCCTCTGCTCTTCTCTGGTGAGACCCCTCCTGCAGTCCTGCATCCAGCTCTGGGGCACCAACATGAGAAGGACGTGGAGCTGTTGGAGCAAGTCCAGAGGAGGCCATGGGGACGCCCCAAGCTGGAGCAAGAAAGCTGGAGAGGAGCTTTTGACAAGGGCCTGACAGAGGGGAGATTGAGATGAGATCTGAAGCAGTTGTTCCCTGTGAGGGTGGTGAGACCCTGTTACAGGGTGCCCAGAGAAGCTGTGGCTGCCCCATCCCTGGCAGTGTTCAAGGCCAGGCTGGACGGGGCTTGGAGCAACCTGGTCTAGTGGAAGGTGTCCCTGCTTGTGGCAGGGGTTGGAACTGGGTGAGCTTTAAGGTCCCTTCCAACCCAAACTGTTCTATGAATCTAAAAGTCATTATACACTGAGGGGTGGTAACTAATGATGGGGAGTCAGGATGGGGATGGGCTATGGGGTGGGGATGTGTTGGGGACCCCCCCCCCCATATTGACCTTGTCTCCCCTCTCTAGTTATGTACGGGAGAAGACCAAGACAGCGGTGGACATGCGGGTGGGTGTGCACAGCGGGACAGTGCTGGGGGGGGTGCTGGGGCAGAAGCGCTGGCAGTACGATGTGTGGTCCACTGATGTCACCGTGGCCAACAAGATGGAGGCGGGCGGCATCCCCGGGTGAGCATCTGCAGGGGGTGGTGGGGAACCGGGTGCCCTGCACCCATGGGTGACACTGGTGCCCGGTGCCGGCAGGAGGGTGCACATCTCGCAGAGCACTATGGATTGCCTGAAGGGTGAGTTTGAGGTGGAGCCCGGTGAAGGAGGTTCACGCTGCGAGTACCTGAAAGAGAAGGGCATTGTCACCTACCTCGTCGTGGTCCCCAAGCAGCCCCTGCGCAATGGCGTCAACGGGGTGGTGAGTGGAGGCAGCAGAGCCGTGGCAAGCCAGGGTAGGGGGACACCCCAGTGTGACCCACCACCTTCACCTTGCAGAAGCTGTCACTGGCCTCATCCCATGGCGGCTCCCCACCGTTGGTCAACACTAAGGAGTGCAACGGCAGCCTCAGCCTGGCCTACATCAGCCCTGAGGAGCCTGAGGAGCCTGACTCCAGGGTGAGGGGCACCCTGGAGTGTGGAGAGGATGATGGAGAGGTACAGCCCATGGAAAGCATGCCCCTTCCAGCAGCTCGAGGGGCACCTGTTAGCCACGCCGTGGTGGTTGAACATCCCACCGATGCTGGCATGGTCTGGCCACACAGGCGGTGAACCCCTCCTTCCCCAACCCTCGGCGGCGGCTGCGGCTGCGGGACCTGGCTGAGCGGGTGATCGACGCCTCGCAGAACGAGCAGGAGCTCAACAAGCTGCTCAACGAAGCCTTGCTGGAGCGCGAGTCCGTCCAGGCGTGAGTCACCCCGGCCAGCAGCAGAGCCCAGTGCAGCTTAGCCCATCCCAGCGCTGGCAGGCACTGATGGGCGCTGTTGTCGGCAGGCTGAAGGGGAAGAGCACCTTCCGGCTCTCCATGCGCTTCATTGACCCCGAGATGGAGACACGCTACTCAGTGGAGAAGGAGAAGCAGAGCGGGGCAGCATTCAGCTGCTCCTGTGTTGTCCTTTTCTTCACCGCCTTAGTGGAGATCTTCATTGACCCCTGGTATGGCAGGGAGATAGTGGGGATGGGTGGCCTCAAGCCACTGGGCTTCAAACCCATCCCCCTTTGGGGTTTTTGGCAGGTTGGTGGCCAACTACGTGACCTTTGTGGTGGGGGAGATCCTGCTGCTCATCCTCACCCTCTGCTCATTGGCTGCCATCTTTCCCCGGGTGAGACAGGACATTGTTCATGGTGATGGGACACCGTGATGTCCATGATGTCCCATCACTGTGTCCCACCTGAGCAACTTTCCCCTCCCCTCAGGTCTTCCCCAAAAAGCTTGTGGCCTTCTCCACCTGGATCGACAGGACCCGCTGGGCACGCAACACCTGGGCCATGGCTGCCATCGTCATCGTCACCATGGCGGATATCGTGGACATGGTGAGCCACCAGCCTGGGTGCCAGCAGGGCTGAGCCTGCTCCAGCCTCCATCCAAGCAGTCCATAATGATGCATAGTTGATAGTTAAAGCAATTAGCAGTGCTGCACTGTAGGGGCGGGGAATTTAGGTTGGGTGTCCTCCTTCTGCTCTGCGAAGCACCCTGTCCCTTTGGGTGGCCATGGAGCCCATGGAGAGGTGCACCTTGACCCCCTCCTCACCCTGCCCTTATGCCCCCAGCTCAGCTGCCAGCAGGACCACAGCGGGATGGGCAACGGGACAGCAGGGCCACCCCAGGCAGGCGGCTGTGGGGAGCAGCCCAAGTACTACAGCTACATTGCCCTGCTGGCCTTGGTGGCCACCATCATGCTGGTGCAGGTCAGCCACATGGTTAAGCTGACCCTCATGGTGCTGATCACTGGGGCCACTGGTGCTGTCAACATCTACGCCTGGGAGCACATCTTTGACCAGTACGACCGCCGCCGTGGCCAGCAAAGCACGTAAGGGGTGGCAGGGGGGTGGGCATGGGTTGGGGGGCACAGCCATACCCACCGCACATCCATGCTGTGTCACCCCTGCCACAGGTCCTTGATGGTCCCCTCCAAGTACTCCATGACAGTGATGATCTTCATCGTGATGCTCAGCTTTTACTACTTCTCTCGCCACGTGAGTGACTCGTTCCCCTCCCCTCTGCACCTTCATACTCAGCCCCTGCCCATATTGCTTGTAAGCTCCAAGGCAACATCTCCAGCTCTACTCTAAGGAAGCCCACCTAAGGGCTCTCCAGGACCACATCACTTCCATCTCACCCCCACGGTTTGGAGTGGGCAGCAATATGGTGGCCCTAAGGCTCACGCCTGCCTCACGAGGATTCTGTTTGCACCTTAAAGCAGGTCTCAGTTCCCCAGTTAGGGCTTCACCTTGTGCCAGAGCCTTCTTCCAAGCTCACACCAGCCCCACAGGATGCTTCCAGCACTGGAAGGGACCCATTGGTTGGTGGCAAGTGGGGGTGAGCCTTATTCCCCACCCCCAGGTGGAGAAGCTGGCCAGGACCCTCTTCCTCTGGAAGATAGATGTCCATGACCAGAAGGAGCGGGTCTATGAGATGCGACGCTGGAATGAGGCCCTTGTCACCAACATGCTGCCCGAGCATGTGGCCCGGCACTTCCTGGGCTCCAAGAAGCGGGACGAGGTGAGGGGCACCCAGGAGGCGGTATTTGCTCCCATTTTGGGAGTGGATGGGATAGGCTTTGGTTGGTTGAAGGTGATGCATGGTTTCATGGGAGGGTTTAGATTTGATGGAGGTGCTGGTGTCCTGCATGGGCACTTGTTTGGTTGCCCAAAGTGGTGAATGCTCCACCCCTAGCAGTTTTAAAGGCCAGGTTGGATGGGGCTTTGGGCAACATGGTCTTGTGTGAGGTATCCCTGCCTGTGGCAGGGGGTTGGAACTGGATGAGCTTAAGTTCTTTTCCACCCCAAATCATTCCATGATTCTATGTCCCTGGCCTACAACCACCATCCCATCCTGTCCCCAGGAGCTGTACAGCCAGTCCTACGATGAGATTGGTGTCATGTTTGCCTCCCTCCCCAACTTTGCCGACTTCTACACAGAGGAGAGCATCAACAACGGGGGCATTGAGTGTCTGCGGTTCCTCAACGAGATCATCTCTGACTTTGATGCAGTGAGTTAGGATGGAACCGGCTATGGGGATGGTGCAGGGCTTGGCTAGACCTCCCCTTCCTGCCCTATCTAAGGGCAGAAGGACCTGCCCTGGCCCTGGGGTGCCTGAGGGTCTTGTCTCCACAACTCAGCTCCTGGATGAACCCCAGTTCCGCTGCATCACCAAAATCAAAACCATTGGCAGCACCTACATGGCCGCTTCTGGAGTGACCCCTGATGCCAATGCCAATGGCTACAGCACCAAGGTGAGGGGTCCCCATGGGGATGCGGGACAGTAGGGGCAAGGGGTGGGCAGGCCTGATCTGTGCTATTCTTGCAGAAGGAAACCCTCTCGGATAAGGAGCGCTGGCAGCACTTGGCTGACTTGGCCGACTTTGCCTTAGCCATGAAGGTGACGCTGATGAACATCAACTACCAGTCCTTCAACAACTTCATGCTCCGTATAGGCAAGTCCGGTAGCACGGGGCAGGGTCTGCCTCAACCCCCCTTGTCCCTCCTTCCCCAACAGTGATGGCACACCGGGCAGCAGCTGCAGTTCAGCAGCCGAAGGCAGCAGGGCTGGGGGGAGCCTCATTGTCCCCACGGCTTCCCTGGGACAGCCTCTCCTTCTGATTAGGATGTCCCATCCATGTCACCAGGCATAGAGACAACCTCTGCTCCCTGTCTTTTGCAGGCATGAACAAGGGGGCCGTGCTGGCAGGTGTCATCGGTGCCCGCAAGCCACACTATGACATCTGGGGCAACACGGTGAATGTGGCCAGCAGGATGGAGTCCACCGGCGTGATGGGGAACATACAGGTGCGATGATGATGAGGGGACAAACTGGCTACCCATGGAGGGGTGCAGCCCTCAAAACACCCCAGGCTGTGGGTGGGAGGGGAGAAGTGCTGCTGGGAGCACATGGGAGGGTTAGGGCTGGCTCCTCTGAGCTGGACACAGGGCAAGGTGATGCTCAAAGGGCACCCCAGGACAATGGGATGGGAGCTAGGCCCTGGGGGTCCCTGCTCCCCATGCCACGTGCCATACAAGGACCTCTCAGCCTCCCAACATGTCCCTGCAGGTGGTGGAGGAGACCCACCTCATCCTGAAGGAGTACGGCTTCCGCTTTGTGCGCCGGGGAGCCATCTATGTCAAGGGCAAAGGAGAGCTGCTCACCTTCTTCCTCAAGGGCCGGGAGAAGCAGGGCTCCTTCATCAGCGGCTCCTCCGTCACCCTGCCCCATCAGGTTGTGGACAGCTCATGAGGGTCCAGTGCCTACCCACCACCACAGCCACTGCCTCCCAGCGTCGAGCAGGGAGGCTCAGGGAAGGACCTGGACACGTCCACCCCACCGCTGTCCAGATCTGAAACCAAACTTGAGAAACCACCCCCTTGGCACAGCCCTTTCCAAGCCCCTGCTTGGATGTTCCTGGTGGGGGCTTTGCCCTACTGTGCCTGCAGCTGAGCAGGAGGGAGACACAGGCTCCTCCTGTGCAAGCGCACACCAGATCTCAGCCCCTGGCAGGCACGGGCCCGGGGACATGCAGCTGCACCACCAGCCATGCAAGGGGACAACATGACATTAAAATAGCACCACGGGCCCTGGCTGCCACACACTCAGCACGAGGAGATCCAAACTCAGGGCCGGATGGGAAGACACCACATCTCTTCTGTGTGCGGGGAGCAGCAGCTACAAACCGAAAGCACCCAGGACGTGCTGTTAGTTTGTACCAAGTTCATCCTTGTCACAAACCACCATAGCTAAGAGATGGAACTGGAGAGCACACTGCTGCCTTTGACTTGGGAAAGAAGAAAAAGGAACCAATATTGTGTATTTCAGATATATAAATATATATGAGTACAGACTGACATTTATATTTTTAACTGTGCCTGTTCCCTCCCTGCAGCAGCGTTTGCACTTGCCTTGGACACTGCCCCGTGGATGCTGCAGTCACTTTGCTATTGCTTGATGGAAAAGAGGACAAGGGACCAGCTGAGGAGGGGACCGGTGTGTTAAAGCTGGTGCTGCCAGGGGTTGGGGGAGAAGGAAGGCACACACAGAGTGTAATTACACCGCTAGTTTCTTGAATAGAAGCAGCTGAACTTCAAAGCCTGATTCTGCGCCTGCTTTGTTGTGGGGTTTTGGATATAGTGGGAAGGGCTTGGTTGCCTTTCTGAGGGCTTTGGAGGGATCCTCAAAGGGGAGGCTGAGCACCTTGCACCAGTGGCATTCACTCCTCTGCCTCCTTGGGGCTCCGGTGGCTCTGGCAGCAGAGCACCTCTACCTCAACATTGGGAACGGCAATAGGAATGACACAGGAGTTTAATCCCCACCCTGTCAGGCAGAAGGAAATCCACATCCACAGCCCTGTCCTCACAGGGACAAACAGCACCCACAGGGACAAAGAGCGATGCTGGAGAGAGGAAGGCACCCACACCACCCAGCACATCCCTCCCAACAGTGCTTGTACACTGGGATACAAGCCCAGAGGCGAGATGGGTCTTACAGCATGGACCTGCCTCCCTCTGTCCCACACACACAGGATGTTATGCTCAAGACTGCAGTTAAGCCTGGCTTTACCACAGTGGCCTCAGTGACAAGATGTGGCACTTCACCCAGCAGCTTAAAGGCCTGGCTCCCACTGACTTGCCCCTAAAACACAGCCCAGCCCTTCACCCCACATCTCTGCCTCCCCTCAACAGGACGGTGCACAAGGTTAGAGCAGCAGCCTTTGTGAACTCACAGCTGCCTCTCAGATGCAGTCTTAAGAAATGAGAGATGGGATTTAAATGACAGTATTTTCTCCCATTTTATTCTATTAAACCACATTATAAAGCTAAAGGAAATCAACAGATAATTTTTTTCTAAACAGGACAATTTTGGTAGCACAGAACTTTTATTAACAAGACGTTAAAGTACTGTTAAAAGGCAAGTTTTAAAGGTCTGACCCAGACTTGAAGCACAACAGGGCACCAGTGAAGCTGCCCCGTGCCTGAAGCACAGGAAACAGCAGGTGTAAAGGCACTACTGGTATGAAATGTCTGGTAAATTCAGTGTTGAGGCTCAGGGGTTGGGGCTTAACGCAGCCCTGGTGAGGCCAGGGGCTGCTGCTGCCCCTCAGCCCCTTCCAGCTTCTAACACAAAGTCCTTTCCTGGCTATAATAAGCAGAACACCAATTTTGCCACTCGCTCCCCTCTTTGTGGGGTGCGCAGTGATGATGCTCCGCAGGACAATGCCCCCAAACCACCGAGATCCTGGAGTTTTAATACAATGTCTAATCCCAGCTGTGAGATGTTTCCTGCAGCCATGAAGATCTGTGGTGCCAACCACAGCAGTCAGCATTCAGACACACGACGGCACAGTGCTAGGGGAAGATTACCTGCAACAACAGAGCTTGAAAGCCTTGAGGAAACAGCGCTCTCAAGATTCACTCACTTGGGGGGTTCCCAGCAGAAGTCCATGGAAAACACCAGTGTTTTGCGATCAGCTCCCGCAGGCAGGGCAGCTGGGGGACCAGGGAAGCTTAGGGTGTCCCATTCAGGCTTTCTCCTGCATTGCTGAAGGAGCGGAAGGCTTTGTGCAGGGGCATGCGGCGGAACAGGTCCGAGTGAGCTGTGGCAGTCTCTGTTAGTGATGCGGGAGCGTCCGCTGGCAGGGAGAAGGCTGGATCAGCAGGGAAAGGAACACCACATTGCCAACAGAAAACTATTTGCTTCTCATTCTTCTCCTGTCCTGAGGGAGTCTCTTGCTCTCCCTCGCAACAGTTTTAATTCTCATAACCCTTCACCCTCCTTCCTGATCCTTCAGAATGCTGCAGCTCCCCCATGGGATTTGATGGCTGCAGAAAGCAAGTGCTTAAGCAGCACCCACTGCCAAAGGGTGAGGACAGCAATGCAGGAGCCTGGGCCACCTCACTGCTCTCTTATCTCAGAAGACACTCATTGGATTTAGTCCAGGAGGCCACAAGGATGCTCCAAGGCCTGAAGCACTTCTACAGAGGAGGAGAAGCTGAGGGAGCTGGGCTTGTCTTTGAATGGTCCAAACCATTCTATGATTAAGACTTGACAGCTTTCAAGTTTCTGGCTAGATTTGCTTGCCAGACTCTCCCACGTGCACAGAGCACACCAGTACAGGCTGGCCTCTATCTGTGGGACTTGTGGAACCAGTGTCCTGATCCAGCTGGGACCATACCAGGCTCTGCACTTTGAGTAAGTGAAAACTAGGAATGAGCAGCCTGTACATCTGAAGTGATCCAAGCTTGCACTCAAACTTTTCCTTCCCAGCCCCATTATATTTCCCTCCCTCCAGCCATCCCATCTTGCCAGTGTTGCAAGAGATCTGTGCTAGGGATGAATTACAACTGCTTCAAAACCCAGCATTGACTACACACAATTCCTTCTATAATCTTTTCTCCCTCAGAAATACAACAGCTTGCTCATTTTGTCCTTAAACTCAATAAGAAAGACCCCCCCATTCATCTGCAGAACCACAGTATGCTCTGCCCACCCCATCACCCCCAGACAGACCCCTGCAGGGTCCGCTTACGTGTGCAGGAAACGATGACTTCAGTGGGGAGGCTGTGACAGAGATCACCATAACGCAGCCTCACGTTGAATGGAAAGGTCTTGCTTTTACTTGACACGTTGTAATTAAAGACCAGCAAGTTATACAAGGAGTTTCTCTGCAAGGTTCCGTTTATCTGATCTGAAAAGTGTTCCTGAAGGGACAAAGACAACTTCTGAAATGGGAAGCTAGGAAGGAAGTCCATCAGCACAGGGCTGGGAGTTTGGCAGGTGCAGCGCTCCAAGCACCAGCCTGGCATGCCCTTTGAGCAGTGTTTGCATGGAAAAGACTTAAGTAAACCAGTGTTCTCAAGACTTTAATAAGCCTCTAAGTGATGCCCTCCAGCAGCTTTTTACAAGATCACAGCTATTTCTGCTTAGGGGCCTCTGGAGCTTGGCAGTAAATGTTAACTGACCGACCAGACAATACCCAAGTAGGTGACAGTGGATGGAACTGAGTTTACAGCCAAAAGGTAACCTAACGAAGTTCTGAAAACCAGAACCATGAGCGCTTCACATAAAGAAAACTGTCAAGATCCCCCCCAGCACTTCAGACTCCTAACACTTGGTATACCACAGGGAAAAGGATGGGTGAAGAGTATTGCTGCAGCCACTGGTACCTGTAACTGTTCTGCTTGGTACCTCCTCCCAACGTAGGCATTCAGGTGGTTGGACAAGACAGATAAGAAGCGCCTGATGTCCGTCTGCAAGTACTGCTTGGCAATCTGCTCCAGCGGGATGAAGCAGGGGACAGAGTGGTGGTAAATCTGCACTTCTGAGTTGGTGAGCAGCAGGTCCAGGTAGTAAGAATCCAAGTAAGTGCCCTCGTAAGCCGTGCTGATGCAGAAGCACACTCCCTGCCTGGTCAGCTTCCCACTGATCCCTTGGGTCCAGAGAGAGAGAGAGCTTTACTGAGCAGTGCTTTAACTCATTGCCACAGGACATCTTTGCTGGAGCAACAAAGGCTGTATGAGGTGCTGGGTCCTCTTCCTAGGCTCACTCAGGGAGCATCCTAGGAGGACTTGCAAGAGTTTAAAGACATAAAACACAGCAACTTCATAAATAAGGGACCTCTAATGTATTCAAGCAGCTTAATGGTAGCTTAAATTCCCAATAACCAAGTTATGTTGCCAATTCCAAACACAGTCCTGCCTCCAACATAACAGGGAGAGCAGTGTGTGCTGCGTGAGGAAGGCAGTGCCTGGATGCCCCAGGGATAACAACAGGAGTACTTATGGTGGGGCTCAGCCCACCTGCATCAGGCAGGACTCACATCCTCGCACTGTCCACAACAAAGGTGACTCTTTTTGGAAACCAATATTTTTAAAAGCCCAGAAGCAGATAAAAAGAGGGTGCTGACCTCACAGGCTTGCTTGGAAGACCCAGAGTACTGGATACTTAAACTGCCTAATTCCCAAAGATTTCATTCCTAAGGTAGTCACACATTTTCCAGGATCTAGTTCTTAGTCGAAATGATGTGGGTCAGTAAATAACAGTTCCTGCAACATCCCAGAGGCCTCCTGTGAAGGGCAGAAAGCTACAAAGCTACTGCTCTTCCAGTGGTTTCAGACTCTGAAGGCTTCAAGCACAAGAGCAGCAGTGTTCCCAGGGCAGTTACACTTCCCATCAGGCTCCGTTTCCAAAACTTAGCACCCCAGAAATGCAGCCATTCCATTCACAGAACACACACAGATCTCAGGGTGTTACCTGTGAGGTTAAAAACCTGCAGCATGGCCTGGAGGCTTTTTATCTTCCACTGTAAAACAGCCTTAGGACTGGCCTGTGCTGCATGTGATGTGGCTCCTTCTGTCTCAAGTTGCTACAAAAGCCAGAATAGAAAAAGAGATCAGAAATCACTGACACAAATGTGTCACCCGCAGGGAACAGGATGCAGAGAAATAATAACCTGGCTCTGAGAGAAGCAAGACAGCATTTCAAACAGAAAAGGGGAGAAATGAAACAGAAGAGGAGGGAAGAACTCTTTCTTGAGTTCAGAAACAGCCCCACAACCTGCAGGCAAGTAGACACAAGAGTTCTGGACTACATGGCACTGAAAACAGGGGACACCAGGACTGTGTGTCACTTAAAAAGGGAAAATAAAAAAATGATATGAGTCTATACGAGTGATCTCAGTGAATCCACCCCCTGAGAGCAGGAACAAACCAGAGCCCTCCACCAGAACTCTGCAATGAGATCTCTTTATCACCTTCTTTTCCTGCAGATCCACTTTAGCCTGTAGCTCATCCCTCTGGAGTCTCAGCTCCTTCACTCTCGCTTTCAGCCTGGCGAGCTTCTCTTCTTGCAGCTTCTTTTTCTGTTGCTTCACGGCTGCCTCATGAACATGCACCTCCAGCGCTTCCAGGTGAGCAAGCACTCCTGTAAGGAAAAGCATAACAAGCTCAAAAATTCCAGGCTAGGATTAACAGTGGTCTGCACTGTGGTATCCAAAACAAAGTAGATCAAGTGCAGGTGCATAGAGAAAGTACTCACAACAACTGTTCAGAGGGAGAGAGGCAGGGAAACATTTGGTGAAGAGGCTTTGGGGAATGTGGGATGGCAGGGTTGTGGGCAATGGCTTGATGTCCAAGTGAAAGCCAGTCGCATTTCTCAGGGCTCGGTGTTGGGACTGAGCTGTGTGATGCAGTGGGCATGCTGGAGAGAATGGATGAGATCCAGGGGGACCTGGACAGGCTGGAGAGGTGGGACAGTGCAAACCTTTTACAGCTCAACAAGGCCAAGGGCAAGGTCCTGCACATGGCCAGAACAATCACAAGCACAAACACAGGCTGGTGGAGACTGGGTTGAGAGCAGCCCTGAGGAGAAGGACTTGTGGGTGTTGGTCAATGAGAAGCTCCCCATGACCCAGCAGTGTGCGCTTGAGCCCAGAAACCAACCGTGTCCTGGGCTGCATCACCAGCAGTGTGACCAGCAGGTCGAGGGAGGGGATTCTCCCCTGCTTTGCTCTGGTGAGACCCCCCCTGCAGTCCTGCATCCAGCTCTGGGCCTCCAACATAAGAAGGACATGGAGCTGTTGGGGTGAGTCCAGAGGAGGCCACAAAGATGCTTCAAGGGCTGGAGCACCTCTGCTATGGAGACAGGCTGAGAGAGCTGGGCTTGTTCAGCCTGGGGAAGAGAAGGCTCTGGGGAGACCTTAGAGCAGCTTCCAGTGCCTAAGGGGACTGACAAGAAAGCTGGAGAGGGGCTTTTGACAAGGGCCTATAGGGACAGGAGAAGGGGGAATGGCTTTAACCTGACAGAGGGGAGACTGGGATGAGATCTTAAGAGGGTGGTGAGGCGCTGGCATTGGATGTCCCGCCCCAGCCTGCTCACCACCCCATGCGTTCACATTCCCTTTGTCCATCTTCCCTAGTTGCTCTTCTGTGAGTGACAAGACAGATGTCAGCGTTCCTTGGCCACACTCCACCCCTTGGGAAGTGGCGACACGGATGCAGAAGGCGCTCTTCCTCAGGGAACCTTCCTCCTGCTGCTGCAATGAGACCCCCGTGAAGCGCCGGGGTCTAGCAGGTACGACCCAGGGCCCGATGGCTGAAACGAGACAGTTTAACACGTTATTTCAAACCAGCCCCCTCAGGGAAACTGCACCCGGCCGTGCAGGGACGGACGCGATTCGTGGGCCACGGGAGAGCCGCCACAGCACTTTGGGGTGCCGGGGCCCTCCCCTCACGGACGGGGTTGGTCGGGCCGCGACCACCGGGGACCCCACCGAAGGACAAAGGGGGAGCTGGGGACCTCCGCGCCAGAGCCCTGGGGTGTCCCAGCCGAGGGGACCCGGCTCGGCCCCGCAGCAGCTCCCGCACTCACCGCAACGGCTGGCGCTCGAACTGCGCGCCTCTGCTCCGCCGGAAATGCGTCACCAGTACGCCCATCCGTTCGCCGTACAACAAAATGGCGGCGGCGGCTATGCCTCTCTGAAAGTATCACCCTGCCTCCCAGTAGGCTTTTCGGCGCCGTACGGCAGCATGGCGGCGTCCGGAGCGGCAGCAGCGGCGCTGGTGCAGTATGTGGTACTGCGGGGGGATCTGGCCCGGCCGCCGCGCTCGTGGCCGCTGGGCGCGGTGGTGGCTCAGGGCTGTCACGCTGCTCTGGCAGCCGCACACAGACACCGCCAGCACCCTGACACCCGTGCCTATCTGGAGCTGGGCGGCGCCATGCGTACTGTCGTGCTGGAGGTGCGTGGGGCACGCCGGGAGCCGCGGGGCATGCTGGGAACGCCGCCTCAGGGGGTGGTGGGTGCTGGGGGCCCTCGACGCAGCACTGTGGTGCATTCGCGGCCTCAGCCGGGCACAGCGGGAAGGGGGAGGTCGGCTGTGACTCGCCTTACCCCGGGTTCTCCTCGCGGTTCCAGGCGTCCCTTCCTTCCGTCTCACCCGGGGAATGAACCGCGGCCTCATGCCCTTCGGGGCCGCACGGCAGCCCCTGTGTGAGGGCGAGGTCGGGGTGGTGGTGGGGATGTAGGGGTGTGCAGAGTTGTTTCCTGAGCCAGGCCAGCCTGCCAGGGAAGAACCTGCGGGTTTGAGGGCTTACAGCCTGGGCTGGCTCACAACCCCTCTTTCCTACTCCAGCGCTCGCAGAGGCTGCAGTGCAGCCAGGATCTGCGAGAGCAACACGCTTCTGGGGTAAGAGAGAAAGTATGGGGATTGTCTATATTAACTATGCAGGCAGCTGGCTGCATCCCTGGCCTGGCCTCAGCACAACCTGCCTTGGGTTTCCTCTTCCCCGTGGCTCCCACCCCAGACTCTGGGTCCCTCACAGCACGGTTTGTCTTTCCCCAGGCTCCGGACGAGGCTGCGCTGGTGGCACTGGCAGAGACCCTGAAGCAGCACAGCATTGACCACGAAGTGTGGACTGAGCAGCCTGAGGACACGGCCACCTGCCTGGCGCTCAGGCCCTACCCGAAGGACCAAGTGCACCAGCACCTCAAAAAATTTAAGCTATTGAAGTAACTGGGCACTGGCAGCTGTCCTGGGCCAAAGCCAAGCTCACTCCCAGGTGGGAGCTAGGAGGAAAGCTGCTGTGCCTCAGGAGTGCTAATGCTCAGCAGCAGGGAGTCATCTTGCACGGTGATAGCATTCACAGTGTGAAACATCTCTTTGGTGGGGAGGATTAAATGTTATTCTGTGCAGAATGTGACTGTGTTATATTAACGTGCTGTGAGCTATCAGTATGCTTTTACATCTCCACCCTGCAGTGTGAGCAGGTGCAGTTTTTAGGTCCAGCTCCATCTGAAAATCTCACTGCTGCTTTTTAGGGCTGGGCTTTCCCTTGAGCAGCCCTTTGGGCTTCCCTGTTGCCTAAAGAAGTGGTAAATGCCCCATCCCTGGCAGTGCTGGACAGACCCTTAGGTATCATGGTTTAGTGTGAGGTGTCCCTGCCCGTGGCAGGGGCGTTGGAACGGGATGATCTAAAGGTCTTTTCCAACCTGAAACATTCTATGATCCTCAGGGCTGCTTTCCCTGTGCCCGTGCTCCACAAGCTGCAGGCACGGTGTCCCAGTCCTCCCCAGGGATTCTGGGCAGTGTTCCCGGTGCCTCCCACCTCCACGGCTGTGGCTCCATGCCGCATACCCTGTTCCTCGCCCCGGCGGGGTCGGTTTATCCGTGTTTCCATTCTCAATGAACCCCTGCCAGGAGCCGTGCGAACAGCAGAGGGCAGCAGCGCCCGCCGAGCCGGGACCCGCTGCATCCCCCGCGTTGCCCGTACAGTAAAAACGTTTGCCATGAGCGGCTTGGTTAACACAGAAAGTGCGTTGTCAGCTAGAAACGCGTGTGCCCCAACTCTCCCCGTCCTGAGCGTGCTGTTAATGTCATTTGTAACCCCCAATTTCCCCCTTTTCCACCGCTAAAGATGAATGTGGAGCAGCTCCTCACTGCCTTGAACTCAGGGCTGGAGGCTGTGCGCTGGCAGGACTAACCACGAGTATGCCATGTATGTTCTCTACAGCACTCTGGGATGTAAGAGGCCTCCAAAACTCTGCGCAGTGACTGATTTACAGCTTCCCAGTGCCACGAACCGTGGTGACAGAGGAGTTCCCAGTGTGAGGACTGGGTGACAGACCCCCCCCCGGTGCCAACACCATCGGCACTGCTCCGGCATCCCCATCGGCACAGAAACACCAAAACGTTGGCTGGAAACTCGGGTTCTTTGTTTTGTTTCTTTTCTTATAACTCTTGCAAATGTCAATCGATAAAGCCACACATTTTTCCACACACCAGCGCGATTTTAGAGGGGACTGGGGGGAAAAAGTCCCTCCATAACCACCCTCCAATAAAAGTCAGCAGTAAATATTAAAAGCAACCCCGATTAAAAGAGAAGAAACCAAATTTATACAGAGCTCAGAGCTATTTACAGTGACAGGCTTGAGGGGGAAAAAAAATAAGCTGTCTCCCAGCAGAGAATTCAATTATTATTATTATTTTATTATTATTATTATTTTAAATAGTTTAAGCTACCTCAGCTGTTAAACACAATCAAAGCAGAAACAACCGACTGCTTAATTTTATTTCATATTTAATCAGAAAATTTTATCTACAATAATTGACAGACCCCTCCCCCCATCCTTCCCCCTAAAAATTATTGCAGTTTTTTCCCCAAACTGTTCTTGTCCTTTTTTTTTTTGTCTTTTGTTGGTTTTTTTTTCCTCCTCCTGTTGCAATATACACATTATAACCCCCTCCCCCCCCCCCCCATTTCACTTGGAGGCCTGAAACCAGCATAAAACATGGAAAAAATGGTGGGTCAAAATACTCTGGGTTTTGTTTTTTTTTTTTTTGGTTGGTTTTCTGTTTTTTTTTTTTTCTTTTTTTCTTTAAAACCGACAAACTCACGATTGATTGCTAGAAAAAGCTGATTGTACGCACAAGCGGGCTGGGGCGGAGGGGAGAGAAGGGCTTTTGTTTGAAGCGTGAATAACAAAAACGACTTTTCCCCGCACAAGTCCAGCGCCGATCCCCTTCCGTGCCCCGCGCCGAGACGTGATCAGTGACAGATCCAGCTGAAACTGAGATTGCTCTTCCTCCTCCTCCTCCTCCTGCCGCCGCCGCAGCCCTCCAGCTGCCTTCTCCCCCTCCCCGCCTCCCCGAGAAACCTTCCTCCGGATTAAGAAGCCAGCAAAATGATTACAAAAATAAGAATCATCTGTAATTTTGGCTCGAGAAACCGACCGTCCCGCCTCGTCGCTTCGCCCACATCCAACGCTTTGTCAAATAACAAGAGAAATAAAAGGTGGAGGGGGGGGGAAAGGCGGGAATTTATAGGGGAAAATAGAAGGGAGGGAGAAAGAGGAAGGAGGGGAGAAAAGGGGGAAAAGTGGAAGGGGAGGCAAAAAGCGAAGAAGGGAGAGGAAAAGGCGAAGAGGAAGGAAAAAAGGGGAGGAAAAGGGAAGAAAAAGAGGGAAAAAAAAGATAAGGGGAAGCCCCCCACCCCCCTCAATAAAACACCCCCCCCCGTTTTGCTCCAAACACTACGAGCTGAAGAATGGCTGCGGGTTGAGATATCAAAAATCTCAGAAAAATATATAATATATATATTTATATATCTCTGTACGTCTTCTTATTTAAATTTCACATTCCTCGAAAAGCGGTTATTCAGTCAGTAGCTGCTGAAGAAGGCTCTTCTGCTGGCCCGGTGGCGGCGGCGGCCCGGTGGCGTTCTTCGGGGTGCCCAAGGAAGCCGGCGGGTTGAGGTAGGGATCTCCTACCAGATTCACTGTACACTGTACGTCAGCAAAGACCTGAACCTGTTGTACCTGCTGGGACACAAAAGAGAAGAGAGGACTTAGCGGGGCCGGGGCAGGGGCCGGCGGCGGCGGATCTGGGTACTACGTGAAGTGGAAACTCACTAGAGACTTCCTCTAGTCTGGAGCCACCCCAGAGAAGAACTCTTCTGTCTTCTTGTCCTATAAAAAGAAAACCGCTGCAACTCATTCGGCTCTGCGAGGTTCATAACGTTGCTCATCCAAAAAAGAAAAAGGGAAAAAAATGGGATTTTTGGGGAAAAAAATACCCCCAAAAAAACAGCCCAGCCTGGCATCCCCTGGGTGGAGGGGAGCCGCAGTATGGTGGCATGCCAGTGGTCGTGCCACGATGTGGGGTGGTAGTAGTGGTGAACGAGGTCCAGCGCGGCTGTTTGATTGAAATTAAGAGCTTTGGTGTGTCTCAGTGGCGCTGCCGGTGTGTCCCTATGGCTGAGCAGCTGGGAAGGGAGAGGCAACGCCAGGACACTGGTGGATGTTGGAAGAGATGGGGATGGAACCAGATTGTGCCCAGGAGCTGGAGGCATCGGTGCCGGTGGGTGGCTGGGCACACTTTGGTGGTGCTCAGAGGGACGGGCAGCATCCGGCAGGGGTGGATGCAGCCCCCAGCGCCTCCCCCATCCAAATTCCCTCACTCCACCACTCTTTTAACGTGGTGGCCTGACTGCACCCCGGTCCCGCTCCGGTGATGGCCGAGCCTAGGAAAGAAACTACCCCCCTTTGCTGTCAGCCGGGAGC